GAGGTTTGTTTTTACAATTTCATTGTGATGTCTTTCATGTACAGTCATCCCTGTTATCCACAGGGAAGTGGTTCCTGGATACTACCTGCCCTCCCAAGGATCATAGTCCCAGACGCACAGATCCTTGGTATAAATAGTAGCTAAATGCTTATAACCTATGCATGTTGATCATCTCTAGATCACTTACGATACCTAATTCAAAACAAATTCTGTGCAAATTAGTTGTTTGTTCAGGGAAGAATGGAAAGGGAAAAAGTCTGTATGAGGTCAGCCTAGACACAGCCATCATAGGCCCAGCTACATTTTCACTCTGAGTTTAGTTGGGTTCACTCATGGAAGCTCGTGGACATGGAGGGCCAGCTATACCATAAAATTCACCCCCTTCAAGGGCACAGTTATGTGGTTTTAGTATAGTTAAAAAGTTGTACAGCCATTAGTGCTAAGTTTAGAAGAAAAGAAACCCTGTGCCCATTAGCAGTCATCCTCACCCCTCTCCAAACCCCCTCCCAGGGCAGTCTACTTTCCAGGAAGGTTTAGGGAAGGTGATTACTTGTTGGATCCTCTGCTCCTCAAGAAAAATTCACAGATAGTCCTCCCCAAACCCTCAGGTCTAAAGCAGGCCATGAACAGCACTGCTTCCCTCTTGCTAGTACAGGAGGCCCGTGTGTTCACAGGCATCTGTGCCAGGCCAGTGCTGGCCACATAGATCTGAGGCCTAGTTGCAGCCCTTCCTGCAGCTCTGAGGCAACAAGCGGAGTGACTGAGTCTTACCCCTCCCAACTGCACATTGGGTTCTAAGCCTATAGCCCTGCGGTCAGAGAAGAGCTCAGCAGCCCACCAGGTGGGCTTTGGGTGTTCCTGCATCTGTGTGGTTGGGTAGGGCAGCAGTGGTCACAACTGCCTTTGCTCCCACTTTGCTCTCCCCACCATGGTGTCAGCAACAGTAAGGTTGCTGCACAAAAGTTCTTCCCACTACTCCCTGCTGTGCCATAGTGAGTCTTCAGGGGATAGTGGTTCTACTTCCAGAATCTCTGGCATCAGGATCAGCATTTTCTCATCCTGCCTGAGGTGGGACCGGCTTGTGTTGAGGGTTCTTATCGCCAGTCTCTCACTGTCACTTCTCAGTCCTGGATGCTGATGACCTTTTGCCACCCAGGACTGGAAGGTGTTTCCCTTGGTGGCCAGGCCAACCTTCTAGCCAGAGACGCCACCAGGTCCAACTGCAGCAAAGACACATGGGCCTTTCTGGCCTGGATGTCCTTGCTCTCTTGGCACTAGGGCCTCATGGTGATTGTCCTGTTTAGGACAGGGAGACCTCCAGGGAGCAAAGTCATCCAGGCTGTTCTGCACTAGTATTGCCTCAAGCCTGAAATGGAAGTTTGTTTCAGCAAGGCTTGAATCAGAAGTGTCCCAATAGAGGCTATGTATGTACATATATATACATATATATACTTTTAAAGTTGTAGTAAAATGTAAATAACAAAATTTACCATCTTAAACCATTTTTAATTATTCAGTTCAGGAGCCTTAGGTACATTCACAATGGTGAAAGACAGGAAGTTCTCCCTCTAAGATCAGGAAGAAGACAAGGATACCCTCTGTGGCAGTCTGTGTTTGTGTATATATATACCTTTTTTTTTTTTTTGAGACAGAACCTCAAGCTGTCCCGCTGGGTAGAGTGCTGTGGCATCACAGCTCACAGCAACCTCCAACTCCTGGGCTCAAGCGATTCTCCTGCCTCTGCCTCCCAAGTAGCTGGGACTACAGGCGCCTGCCACACACCTGGCTAATTTTTGGTTGCAGCCGTCATTATTGTTTGGTGGGCCTGGGCTGGATTCGAACCCGCCAGCTCAGGTGTATGTGGCTGGCACCTTAGCCGCTTGAGCCGCAGGTGCCGAGCCTGTGTATATATAGTTTTTAAGAGACAGGGTCTCATTCTGTTGCCCAGGCTGGACTGCACAACACACTGCACCCTCCCTGTGCCTCCACGTCTGGCTAATTTTTTTTTTTTTGGAGGCAGAGTCTCATTTTGTCACCCTTGGTAGAGTACCATGGCATCATAGCTCACAACAACCTCAAACTCTTGGACTTAAGCTATTCTCTTGCCTCAGCCTCCTAAGTAGCTGGGACTATAGGCACCTGCCAAAACACTCGGCTATTTTTGGAGACAGGATCTCGATGTTGCTCAGGCTAGTCTCGAACTCCTGAGCTCAAGTAATCCACCTGCCTCAGCCTCCCAGAGTGCTGGGATTACAGGTGTGAGTCACAGCACCAGGAAATTGTCTTCATTTTGCCAATTTTTTAGGTAAAAATTTTCTCAATTTTCTATTCATTTTGATTTCTTTATTATTCCAGAAGTTGAGCATATTTTCATGTTTGTTGGTATCTTCTGCAAAGTTTCTATTCATCTTTTGCCCATTTCCTATTATACTTGACTTATTTTTATTTTTTTATTTATTTTTGAGACAGAGCCTCAAGCTGTCACCCTGGGTAGAATGCTGTGGCATCACAGCTCACAGCAACCTCCAACTCCTGGGCTCAAGTGATTCTCCTGCCTCAGCCTCCCAAGTAGCTGAGACCACAGGCGCCTACCACAACGCCCGGCTATGTTTTTTTTGGTTGCAGCTGTCATTGTTGTTTGGCGGGCCCAGATGGATTCAAACCCGCCACCTTAGGTGTATCTGGCTGGCGCCTTAGCCACTTGAGTCACAGGCGCCAAACCCTTATTTTCATTTTAATGATGTCACCATCATTAGCCACAGCTGTCAATATTTTCCTCTATAGCTTTGGTTTTGGACAGAGGCCTAGATTATGGAAATGTCCTCCAATATTGTTTTCTAGTTCAATTATCCTTGCATTTTTATGTTTAGATCTTTAATCCACTTAGAAATTACTTTTGTTGGCTCGGCACCTGTGGCTCAAGTGGCTAAGGCGCCAGCCACATACACCTAAGGTGGCGGGTTCGAATCCAGCCAGGGCCCGCCAAACGACAATGATGGCTGCAACTAAAAAAAAATAGCCAGGTGTTGTGGCTGGTGCATGTGATCCCAGCTACTTGGGAGGCTGAGGCAGGAGACTCACTTGAGCCCAGGAGTTGGAGGTTGCTGTGAGCTGTGATGCCACAGCACTCTACCCAGGAGGACAGCTTGAGGCTCTGTCTCAAAAAGAAAAAAAAAAGAAATTACTTTTGTTCATTACATGAAGTTGGATCATACTTCATTTTATTCCTATGGCTTTTCAACTAATCCAGCACATTTATCACATAATCCACCCATTTCCCATGCCTTGAAATGGCATATTTTTCACGTATGAATTTCCTCGTGACTCTAGGTCTGTTCTCAGCTCTTTGCTGTGAGCTCAGTCATTGGCTTATCACCGTATGCCTCAACTACCTTAGTTTATGGCTTTGATACCTGCCAATCTTGCAAGCTTATTCTTTCTCAGATTTTCTGGGTTACTCTCACAATTTACTCTCTTGGATGAACTTCAGAATCCATTCACAAAGTTCCAGAAAACCCCCGAACAAGTCTATGGGCATCTTGCTAGCACTGAATGAATTTGTGTAGAAACAGTGGACTGATTGGTGACATCACCTGAGGGCTCACAGGGCTCAGTCTTGGGTCTAGGCATATGTCATGGCTCTCTCAGTGCTGAGCTTCTTTCATGCCCTCCAGTGATGTGTTCTAGTTCTTCTCTGAACTAGAGGCTATTTCTAGACATTTTCCAGGTCTGATTACGTCGATGGAATCTGTCCCACGGGACTGCTACCTGATTACAGCGTAGCACAGTGGCAAAAAGTAGGATCAGCCTGTGCTAGAATTAATTTCGGATTCCAACTAAGCAATTCAGGGAAGTGAGCTGAACTTTTCTGAGCTTCAGCTTCCTCCCTGATAGAATGGAAACATCATCTCTTTAGTATGTACTTGCTGTGAAATTTCTGCAAGATAGTGCAGGTAAAGCAGCTGCTCTGACACCTGACACACACTAAGTGATCAAAAATTATTAACTCCCTTACCTCCTAATAATGTCAATTCTAAGATGCAGATTTTCTTCTCATGTTACTATTTCTAAAATGTTGATGGGTCTTAATCATTAGCATGTCGTAGTTTAATTTGCAGCAATATATTGTCTTTCTTGGGCATTCCATTAATAAAATAATGGTACATCTTAAAATAGTGTCTCAAGGCCAGGTGCAGTGGCTCACACCTATAATCACAGCACTATAGGAGGCCAAGGTGGGTGAATGGCCTGAGCTTAGGAGTTCGAGACTAGCCTAAGCAAGAGTGAGACCCCCGTCTCTAAAAATAGCCAGGTCAATTGTGGCTAGCACCTATAGTCCCAGATACTTGAGAGGCTGAGACAAGAGAATTACTTGAGCCCAAGAGTTTGAGGTTGCTGTGACCTATGATGCCATGGCACTCTACTGAGGGTGATAAAATGAGACTCTGTCTGAAAAAAATAAAATAAAATAATGACGACAACTGAGAATGTGGCGGGACCTGTGGCACAGAATGGCAGCAGGAAGTGTGCCCCGGAGTAGGCACTGAGGGTTGGGAGGCCCACAGGTCCTCACATGAGGAAACTCTGCTATAGTATCCTGGTGGTTACACAAACTATATATGCCCTAAATACCTACTAAAGGAGTGAATGCTGTGATGGAGGAGGAGACAGTCCCATATAGCAATACCACAGAGCATGAAAGGTGGCTACAAATCTTTAACATGAAAGAGTCCTGCAATATAGTGTTAGGTGAAACAAAGGTCACCCAAGAGGATGGGTAATAGTCCCCCGCTGCCCTTAGGCACTGGTGGTTATCTGGAAAGAAGTCTGAGAAGGAGACTATGGACTATTAGCAGTGGTTGCCCTGGGAAGTGGTCACTAGAGAGGGCACACCCACACTGAAAGGAGTACGTCTTCATCCCTGGAATTACTACAGCAGTCGCCCATTTTGCCATTTAGGTCAAGTGGCTTTTTAGTACTTTTCCTTTCTATGTGAAATGAACTGCATAGAACAGAATTGTTACATCAGATCTGTTGGAGAAAGAAACATTTCTCCATCCACAGCGTGTTCCTCACCAGCCTCCCGTATGTCCCAGCGATAGCTAGACCTGAGGGAATGATATGTATCTCCCCATAGTCTGTGCTGCCGTCTTTGCTTGTGACTTTTATTTTTCCTCCCATGACCTTAGGTACTCCCTTTTTATCGTCTAGTCATCTTTCACTTGAGGTTGTGCTCTTCCCATGAGACCTGGGCTAACCATGGAAGCCAGGCCAGTTCCAGTTCCTGCGGGACCAGACGGCACCTCCCAGGATGTACTCACTCACTCAAGCCAGGCTTCTTGGCACCCCACTGCACCCCAATACAGCACACACTTTTCTCTTGACAGGCTCAATCATCAGGGTTTGCAGAGGGCTGGCCCTCCTGATGGGCAGGGAGCAGGGTGTGGATTCCTGGCAGTACCAGTCCCAGCAGGGGCCACAGGCTCAGGGCCCCTAGGTGCTGAGAGGCCTGCTGCTCAGGCCTCCTTTTCCATTAGGGCCTCTCCCTGCTGAGGTCTGCGCTCATTCTTTCATGGCCTCCAGCATGAGGGCATTGTTGTTGCTTTTCCTTCTAAAAATGTTTTTATTTTGTTGGTTCCAGTCACCAACTGACCTTTGTCACTTTCTTCCCTGCCTCTCTGTGCTTCGCTGGACATGCCAGGGGAGTTCTCAGGTGTGTATCTCTCTTGTCAGTGTCCCCACTGTGTAGGCCGGGGAAAGCGGGTGAGAGGGGGTGCACAGGACCACAGCTGCACGGACTGGCCCACTCCTTGCGCTTTGCTCTCTAGCCCACTTCCGCTCTGGGCTTATTTGGGTTTGCCCCTCTGGCCACTGATAATGAACTTCATATCTGACACCCCTGGAGCCTGAGCCATCCCAAGGGCCACTTCTGATGTTTTTTTGGAGCCATTAGAAATGCCTACGGGGTCAGGCTGAGTGTGGTGACTCGGACCTGTAATCCTAGCACTGTGGGAGGCAGAGGCAGGTGAGCCTGAGCTCATGAGTTTGAGACCAGCCTGAGCCAGGATGAGGCATCTTCTCTAAAAATAGCTGGGCATTGTCGTGGGTGCCTGTAGTCCCAGCTAATTGGGAGGCTAGGCAAGAGAATTGCTCGAGCCCAAGAGTTTGAAGTTGCTGTGAGCTGTGATGCCACAGTACTGTACTGAGGGTGACAAAGTAAGACTATCTAAAAGAAAAAGAATGAAAGAAATACCTACAGGGCATAGAACAAAGGCCTGAAGGCGGTCTGTGGGCATTCTCCACTGTCAAGTGCAGCCCAGGCAGCCCTTTGCTAAGCGCAGCCCAGGGGTCTTCTTACTCTGAGGCCCCTGCCTGTCCAGGTGCTCTGATGAGTCCCAGGCACTGCTACCCACCACGGCAGTGACTTTTGTGCTCGGCCCCACCCTCTTCCCAGCCCAGCATTCTAGGGATACATATTAACTGCATTTCTCACAGGTGATTTGGCATGGTAGTCTTCGGGCAACCCCAAGGATAAACCTTCCAAGGAGCAGCTGGCTCCATCCCACCTCCTGCGATTCCTGCCTATGCCCACCCCTAACCCAGTGGGAACTAGCTCTAGGGTCCCGCCCACCCTGCTGTCTACATAGCTTAATGCGCTTCTTTTCTCTCTCCCTTCTCCCTCTCTCCCGCCCGCCCTGGTTGCCCATCTCCTGTGGGACTGGGACGGCTCCCATAGTGCGCGATGATTTCTTTGGTAAGGCCAGGCTGTTTCAGTGCATCGTTCCTCTCTACTCTGACAGCTCCCCATGCTTCATGCGCTGGGTGCTTTGCTCTGCATGGTGGGGCAGTGGGGGCCCAGATTCTGTGGGCCCCTAGCTTTCAGGGTGGGGGTGGGCACAGGGAAGAGACGTTTTTTCCACTCAGCCCTGGGGGGCCACAGAAGGCAGTGCTCTCCCTCAGAGCTGGCTGGCTCCCTGTGTACAGACCTTTGATAGCCAAGGCAGGCCACCCATGGCCTTTGTGGGCTGCCACAGAGTCAAGGCAGACCCTGTCTGGGTTGAGCCCTGTGCCTTCTGCCTCCTATCCAAGGAAGGTCAAAATGGAGCCAGCAGGTGGAACCCCACACCCAAGCACTCAGGTGTCCTGGTGCTGCTGCCCAACTGCATAGCTGGTGGGGAGGTGAGCAGGAGGGTTAGGCCTTGGGTTTTCAGGGCCATCCTGAGGGCTCAGATTTGGGATTTCTGGGGATCTTGTGACATGTCCACAGAAAGCTCAGTGTATGTAGTCCACTTTGGGGCCTGGTGGCAGAGGGGCCAGGTCAGTCCCTCCTGTCCTCCTCTGTCCACTCTGTCCTCTGCCTCCTGATGGCCCAGGGCCTGCGCCTTGACCCATAAATGGCTGTGCCTGCCATAGGCTATTCCATCTCCTCGGTCAGAGGTCTTCTCTAGTCCTGTGCCAACTTCTCTGTTCTGTCACTGCAGCTCCAACATCATTCATCTACGGGACAGTACTAAGGTGTATGTCTCATGTCAGGCTCAGAAACCACAGAGCCAGAGGAAGGGAGCAGTGCTGGGAGACAGGGTTGAAGTGGTCACACAGAGCAGTTCCAGGGCACTCCCAAGACCCAGGATGTGAGCCCAGTTGTTGCCCTGGGGACCCTGCTCCATGCAGAGCCTCCACAAGGGCCTTCTGGGACTGACCACACCTCCCTTGCAGTCAGCCTCCAGGCACAGGGTTACCCCCAATGGACGTTTGCTCTGAGACAGGTATGGTAGCTTGAGATCCAGCCTTGAGGAGCACAGGTAAAACTTCTACCCCTTTTGTTCCAGGAATGGGTAAAGAAGTTGGGAATCTACTGCTGGAAAACTCACAGCTTCTAGAAACCAAGTAAGAGGTCCCCTCCCAGGCCACAGTAGCTGAAGTAACCCTCTGTGCCAGGGCTGGTAGACTGGTCCTGGCCAGAGGGCTGTGTCCAGGAGAACCTGGACCCTTGATCCCCACGCCAGGATCACCCCCCCTGGGGAGACAGGGACTTGAAGCAGGTCTCCTGGGTGACTTCTTTAGGATGCTTATGCCAGGGACCCCTTCCCTAGGGTGACCACAGAGTTTAGTGCTTAAATGGGAACAAGGATTACCACCTTTACCTGCATCCTTCACCAGATGTGCCTTCTCACATGTGGACCCCTTTGATCGTCCTGTCATGTTACATCCTTGACGTTCACATGACACTCCCATCATTCTGCTTTTTCCAAGAAATGCCTTGAATGTGGTAAAGAACGATCTCATTGCTAAGGTCGACCAACTGTCAGGGGAGCAGGAGGTGCTGAAGGGGGAGCTAGAGGCTGCCAAGCAAACCAAAGTGAAGCTGGAAAACCGCATCAAGGAATTGGAAGAGGAGCTGAAGAGGTGAGGGCTTCCTGGACAACCTGTGTATACTCTTACACCCTTCCCTGGCACCCAATGTCAGCTCCACCCTAGGGACCCCACCCAGACCCAGCAATGCACAGATATAGGACCCTGCACAGGGCCTAGAGTGCGAGTTGCTCCTCCAGGCAGTGTACAAGGCCTGGCTACAGCTCCCACATCACCCCATTCCTTCATTCAGAAGGAGGGTAGGAGAGACCACATAGCTCTCTGGCCCCAGCCCTGTGATCAGCCAGGGCCCTGCCATGTGGTCACTGGGAATTCTCTGACAAGGAGGGACGGCACCCCTGGTGGAGAACAGGGTCTGCCGGGCCTTGCCTGATACCAGTGCTGCAACTTGCTTCATCTATCTGTCAGTCTTCCTTGGCCAGAGTAGCCAGGATGGCCATCTGTGTTTCAGGGCACATGAGGCCAGGGTATGAGGTCACTGTCCCAGGGAACTGGCAGGAGCCTTCAGGTTCCGAACCAGGGAACCCTGGCTCTGCAGAAGCATGGGCACAATTGCCAGGCTGTATATTCCCAAGGACAGGGGCCCTCACTACTCCCCACATCCTCCCTCATCCTACAGAGTGAAGTCAGAGGCCATCATTGCCCGCCGTGAACCCAAAGAAGAGGTGGAGGATGTAAGCAGCTATCTCTGTACAGAATTGGTATATTTCACTATTAACATGTGGGGCATGGGGCAGGGGTGGGATACAGGGTGGGTTCCAGGGACTTGCTGGTTCTCCTGGGCTCTGGGCCTTCCTCACCCTTCCGTGACATCTGAATCCAGTGGCATCTTTTTTTTTTTTTTGAGACAGAGCCTCAAGCTCTCCCCCTGGGTAGCGTGCCGTGGCATTACAGCTCACAGCAACCTCCAACTCCTGGGCTCAAGCGAGTCTCCTGCCTCCGCCTCCCAAGTAGCTGGGACCACAGGC